ATGGGGACATTGCATGAATTAAGTGTGGGGTAGGGGGTTGGTTACATTAGTTACATTAGAATCCTAGGTATAATTAAAAAAATTGCATAAAAAGTGATAGATTAATTTAGAAAATCATGGTAAAAGCAATTAGGATTCCATGCTAGTATTGTGTTTGATGATTTTATGAGAACCCAAATGTTTAGTTGAGCCAATATACGTTATAATGCATTTGTGGCCCCCTTTATTCTAGTGAAATCATGGGACAAAAACACAACATCGCTTAGTTTGAGGGATGCAACATGTTTAACATCGTATACTTGAAATGTATCCATGAAAGCTTAAGTAGTCATTGAACATATAGACTAATGTCTTTAACCAATAAATGATGAAGTTAAACTCCCTTGTGTAAGCATATGCTTTTCTAGGATTTTTAGTTTGAGTGAAAAAAGTGTGGTTGTTAAGCTAATAATAATAATAATAATAATAAAGTTGAAAAAAAAGAGTGATGCAATGTTTGAAAGAATTTACAAAGCTATGAAGACAAAGAAGAAATACATGAAGAAAGCTGCAAATCATTGAAGATTCAAGGCAAAAAGTTATCAAGTCTTTTATTTTTATTTGTAATTTTCTTTTCTAGATTATTTTATCGTATGTGTGCTTGGGGATTTAACCAAAAAATACTTTAGGTTAAGAAAGTTTTCTGGGGATGGATTCGGAGGATGCATAAAATGAGCGTTGTTCAAAAGAAGTGGGTGAGTGTTTATGAGGATTGTGAGTATTTAGGGTTAGGGGGTCCTTATGAAAAAATTAGACACAAATGCATGCGTTGCGTTCTTAGCATAATGGCAGGGTTCAATTGGGATTGTCTTATGTGGTACTATTGTGTTAAAATTCAGTTTTGCTTGGGGGCAAGTAAAAGTCAAGTGTGAGGTATTTTGATATGGGCATATTTAGTCATATAATTTATATATTATTTTAATACTTTATGTTGATTTTATCTCATTTAATGAACAAAAGGTGCTTAATTAGTTTAGAATTTCATTTTTCAGCAACAATGACATGCTCGGATGGAAGAGGAAGCGGATTTAGCAATTGGAAGCTTGGATCTTGGATTTTGAAGAAAGAATGATGTTGCTGGACAGCTTGACCCATTGTCAGTGTTTTGGCCATATCTCATGAACCGTAACTCCGATTGACAAGATTCAAAATGTTCTGAAAACTAGACACAATTTCGGACGACTTTCGTGTTTTGAGAAAATGCTGATTCCAAACGGACTCGACGAGTTGGCCATCAACTCGACGAGTTGATCAGAAAGTTCACGATTCTTGACGCTGACTTGTCGTACACGCGATTTTAATGACCAACTCGACGAGTTGGGTCAAAAAACTTGTCGAGTTGGCTCTGTTTTCAGAATTTATATATATATAAACGCTTTCATTCGAAACCCTAACTAATTCTGGAAGCTTTGGATGATTTTTGGAGGCCAGAAGGGTTCTTAGAGCTGTGGTTTTCGAGAATTTAACCTAGAAGTCAATTTTGAAGAGATCAAAGGCAAACAAACATTACTTTTATCTTAATCTTTTGCATTAACCATGTTTCAATCATTAGATTTCGTTTTTAGTTTGTTATTTGCTGTAGATATGAGCTAAAAACTCTTTACTTCTGTTTAGACTAGATGAACTTATGAATATGGTGTGATTTTATGGCTTAGATTAATTTGATTTGGTGAATTGTCTTGTTAAGCTTGTTAAAGACCCTTATGTGTTAACGATAATTATTTTCTGTTAATAATCAAGTTATTGAGTTGCATGAACATCTTCTTAATTACTTGAATCATATGGTTTTTGTGAAAACAATATTGTATGCCTAGTATTAGTGAATATGAACCTAGGATTAATAAGAAAATAAGTAAGTTAATGTGTAAGCATGTGTGATGAACAACCATACATGAGTTGATTGAATTGATAAATTTAGTTAACTAATATTACAAGTCTTACTTGATCCGAACTGAACACTAGGAAACTTGTTAGTTTAATCAACTGATCATTGTTTAAATTAACTTGTTTGCTAAGGATTAGTAATAGTGAACATGAACCTACTCACATTAGAAATCGGTACCCAATGACATATTAATCCATTGCACTTGCTACGAAATCAACCATAGGAATAAGTGAATCGAATCTAAACAGAAGTCTTTTTAAATTGATTGATTCTAGTTGTCTTTTGTTTCTCCTTAGTTGTTAACTGTCCTTTGTTTAAGTGTTTAAGTAGTTTCTTAAGTTTCTAGTCTTGTAAAACTAGAGAAAAACTCTTCTTTTTACTTGTTTTATTTAGATAATATTAGTAATAATCTTAATTGTTTACCGTTCCATGTGTTCGATACTCTACTTACCTGAACTAAGCTGCTAATCGATAGGTACACTGCCTTTTCGTGTGTTTGTTTCTGTGTCTAAGTTAGTAGGATTAAAACTAGTGCATTCCACACACATCAATGATCATGTTGTAGCCATCACAGTTCATCTTACTAGCATTATTTTTATTTGTAATCATTTTAGTACCTGGACATTCGAACTCTAAGTAGTTTTATTTTAGTTTTTAATTACTACATTTAGAGTATAATTATTTTCATCAATGTGACTGTGTTCCATATTGGCATATTTAAACCCATGATATTAGTCTAAATATACATAGTTGATCCCTTTAATGGAATAATTATGAAGAAAGACTAATATTAAGGTTCATTAACATTCATGGAGATGAATATGACTCTTGTTGTGAGCCAAATTTACATGTATTGATATTGGATTGACCCAATTTAAGATGTCACTTCATGGATAGGCATCAGTGGACAATATATATATATATATATATATATATATATATATATATATATATATATATATATATATATATATATATATATATGACTTGAAACTTATGAGGAATGTATAGTCAAAAAGATTGGGATTTATTCTTCTAATTATTGGAGTTCTAATTATTGGAGTGTGATATCGTTCCATCCCCTTGGTAGAATCAGATACATACATACATACATCAAGTTTTATTATCAAATATATTTTAAAACTTTAATAAAAAGTTATAAATCAGATTATACTTCACCCCCAAAAGGAAATTGCAATATAATTTTGACTAAATTACAAATTTGGTCAATGTATTTAGTTAAATTTCTTTGGTTTAGGTCCTTTTTTGTAGTTTTAGTCTTATTTCATGGTTTCATAATCCGATGATCATTAACTTTAACAACACAGCCCTTAAATATATGGCAGTAACCATTTTGCCCTTGTATTCATCTCTTTCATTTCGATATTCACTAAGCATAAGTAAAAGCTAAAAAAAAGTCATATCTTATCTCAAGAAACCCTAACCAAATTCGACCAAAACCTTATAAATCAAACCTAAAATAAGCATAACTATTGTACATTCAAACAAAAATGAAAGAGACAAAGATGATGAAGAACCCAAGGGCAAAACGGTCATTATCGTATATTAACAGTTGTGGTGTTAATTGATTGGCATAACCGCATAAGGATAAAAAAAGGTATGAAATCATGATATAAAGACCGAATATGCAAAAGGATTATTTCATCACTATGAATTAAGATAAAAGAAATTGTGAATTGTGGAAATTGTAAAAGAGAATATTGAAAGAGTAAGCTTAAAGCAGCAGCAATCTAAAAAGTGAGATTCCATTGTTGAAATAAAATTTGTTGCGTTGTTCATTTCGATCTCAAGAAAATCTTATACTCATGTATAGTTATATAATAAAGATTAATAATTAATCCCAAATTATTCATCTAATAAATAAAGGGTTAAGCTTTAGGATTTAGATCTTATAGGTATTATTAATTGTGTAGGTAATTTGTTTATAATTTATATAAAAAAAATACGTCTTTCTTAGGGGGTGTTTGGCTTATCTTTTGAGAAGCCAAAAGTCCTTTTTGGAAAAGTTGCAAAAAGTCAGGTTTTTCTGACTTTTCCAAAAAGTCAGTTTTCCTTATATCCAAAAGTAGCTTTTAAAATGCTTTTACCAAACATCTTTTACCTTTTATCTTTTCCTAAAAAGACTTTTGGTCTCTCAAAAGATAAGTCAAACACTCCCTTATTTGGTACAACCATGTTATGTCAAAAATAAGTTAATAACCATCACCTTAGTCTTTCTTGTTTGATACACCTATAAGATCTAAATCCTAAAGCTTAACCCTTTATTTATTAGATGAATAATTTGGGATTAATTATTAATCTTTATTATATAATTATACATGAGTATAAGATTTTCTTGAGATCGAAATGAACAACACAACAAATTTTATTTCAACACACCTTTTAGTTTTTATTTTAAACAATAAGTTTCAAATCTAAAAGCTATTTTAGTTTTTTTGAGCTTTTAGTTTTTCAAAGCTTTTAGATTTTAATTTTTAACTAATTTTACACATTTACAAACTAATTGCTATTTTTGTCAAACTTCTATATAAATAAAAACTATAACTTTTAACTACCAACTACCAGCTAGTTTTGTCAAACATTTTGTATAAATAAAAACTATAACTTTTAGCTACCAACTACCAGCTAGTTTTGCCAAACATTTTGTACGTTTATATATCAAGCAAAATATTCTAGCAAATTATGTCAAAAAAAAAACAACATATATAATTACCTAGATTAAGGTTGTAGCTTTTGAGTAATAAGTTGGTCTGTAGTTGATAAAATAATAGTATTCGTAGTTGATAGACTAGATAACAATTATGCAATGACAAAAACAACATTTAGAATAATATATACTTGTAACAACATATAAGAGCATATCACTAAGTCATTGTAAATATTTTTATCTAAAAAACTAATTTTTAAGCTATTTTAATGGTCTCAACAAAAATACATTACTATAAACTCACAAAATAATTTATCTCAGTATATGCCTGCCTCAGTGTTAAAACTTATTAAGCTCATTAACTAAAATAACAATAGACAAAGAGCAAATGAAAATGCACAAATAAATTTATTTATATAACAAGAAAGCATTAGTGATTAGTGTATACAAACAAATATACACCACACAACACAAATCAAATCAAAAATCATATCAATATCAACATTAAGAAAGATTGAAATGAATCAACGCACCCATGCAACAGCATCGATCTCATCTCTTGCTGCTTTGTATAACTCGAGTCTTTTAGCAATTTCTTGTCTCTTTGACATTAAAGTTGGATCTTCATCTAGCAACTCCCCCAACTCTTTTCCCTGAAATATTTATTTACATTTTTTTTATTACTCATTAAACTCAATACCTACCACCATTATAGCCCATAAATTGTACAAAAATTCCAATTTGGCTCGCACAAAAGGTCTCTTTGACATTAGAAGGTGTTTTTTTTTATATAATTAAACTCAATACTTAGATTTTACTAAATGCCTTTTTTTTAGTGTGTGTGTGTTTTGGGTTTTATATATTTTACTAAATGCATTTTTGTGTTTTGGATTTTAATAATATTTCATTTTACTATCCTAATTATATTTAACCCTCAAATCTTTATTATTTTTTTTAAATTAAATTTGTTTCATTTTAATAAACAATATTAAACATTAAATTCGTAAATTTGTTACTAGTACATTTATTTTTCAAAATGCAAGATACCCTTAAAAAATAATTTTTTTTACTAGGGACCTTTATAAAACATTTCACAAAAACAATGATAAAATTATTTAATTAAAGTCGGTGGAAATCTGATGTGGCAAAACAAAAAAACTAGAGTAAATTACACGAATGGTCCCTATGGTTAAGGATAATTTGCACGTTTGGTCCCTAACTTATTTTTTTTAACTCGGAAGGTCCCCTACTGTTTTTGTTACGAGCTTGATCCTTGTCTTAACTAAAAAGACTATTTTGCCCTTGATTTTTTAATTTATTTAAATAAACACACCCCCAACCCCACCCCCTCACCTTACCTATCCCACCATTTTTTTCTATTTAAATAATAGTCTTTTTAGGTAAGACAGGGACCAAACGCATAACAAAAAACAAACAGTATGGACCAAGCGCGTAACAAAAACAAACAGTAGGGACCTTCCGAGTTAAAAAATAAGTTAGGGACCAAGCACGTAAATTACCCCAAACCATAAGGACCATTCGTGTAATTTACTCAAAAAACTATTGAAAAAAATCGATGATTGTGGATGCTCTTATATCGGGACCGGGACTAGGACTGATATCAATGGGACAGTAACTCGCTCTATATCTCTTATCTATGCAAAAAGACATAAACGCCCTTGAACAAAAACAACCCTCGAAAGCTTGTGAAATGTAAATAGAAGACTCACCTCTCTCCTCCCTATTTGGATGTAAAAGTAATGCAACAAATTTTGCCTCGCCTCTTTAACTTGACAATAAACAACCGCTTTAGGAATCGTAACCCTAAGTGTCTCAGACACCATACCAATATAACTCAACACATTCGACCCAATCCTTCTAAAATGTGCATCTCCATATCGGTCACCCAACGGGTCACTCGGGTACTTCCCTTTTTCTTCACCCCGGTCAGCAGACACAGACACACCTCTTCGGTCAGCAGACACAGCTCTCCGGTCTCCACTTCGGTCACCCGGGGCGGGGGCGGGGGTGGGGGTGGGGGTGGGCCCACCTTCTTGTGGAAGTTTCCGGAAGAAATCGACGGTTAGATAAGAAGATTCCATGTCGACTAATCTAACGACCGTTTTTTTACTTTCTTCGCGGAATTTTTCTAGTGATTGAGTAGCTGCGGTGGCAAGAGTGGATTGGAGAGATGGAAACCGTCTTAATTCCTGTTTCAATTGATTTGTGAGAAGAACTTGAAGAAGGGTATATTTGTAATTATGTTTGGTTTTTGAGTCTCACCTCGGTTTCTCCTATCGACTTTCTCACAAGCTCTTTTAAGACGAAATGTACCTGAAAAAAAATGATTTTTGGTAAGTTGAAAACAAAATAACATTTTTATTAAAGCTTTAGGTTTTAGAGTTTAGGGTTAGGGATTTTATGGTTTAGGGTTTAGGATTAGGGTTTTATTGTTTAGTGTTTAGGGTTTAGAGTTTAGGGTTAGGGTTTTTATGGTTTAGGGTTTAGGGTTTTTTAGGGTTAGAGTCTTGTGAGAGTTACAATTCCTATTTGGATTGTGATTGGGATGGGAACTTTGTAATGGGCCACTGGGTACCTGATTTACTATTTGAGTAAATTACACGAATGGTCCCTATGGTTTGGGTAATTTGCGCGTTTGGTCTCTAACTTATTTTTTTAACTCGGAAGGTCCCTACTATTTGTTTTTGTTACGCACTTGGTCCCTACTGTTTGTTTTTGTTACACGCTTGGTCCTTGTCTTACCTAAAAAAAACTATTATTTAAATAGGGAAAAATGGTAGGGTGGGATAGGTAAGGTAAGGTGATGGGGGTGGGGTTGGGGGTGTGTTTATTTAAATAAATTAAAAAATCAAGGGCAATATAGTCTTTTTAGATAACACAGGGACCAAGCGCGTAACAAAAACAAACAGTAAGGACCTTCCGAGTCAAAAAAATAAGTTAGGGACCAAACGCGTAAATTACCATAAACCATAGGGACCATTCGTGTAATTTTATGGAAACTATTGAAAAAGTAAATTTAAGAAGAAATTAAATTACGGCATCTACGGAAGCTTCGGCGGGACCCCTGAAATAATTTAATGATCTTTCAATAAGACGTCTGTAGCCTTGTTCTGGAGCAATTAAGTGAGGCTGATATCCATCTGCTTCTGAAACTATTTTTTTCACATTTTGTAATGAAAGATGTCTATCAAATGGAAGTTTTTTTAATGCTGCAGGAAGTTGGTTGTCAAATACTCCATAGATTCTATCACCTCCTGCACGTCTGAAACAAGAGAAAACACAAAATGTCACTTTTAAACACAAGGGTAAAATGGTAAAATGGTCGTTTACTCGTTATTAAAACAGTTCATCTGGTGTAGAAAAGAAACAGTTCTTTGTGTGTATAGTATATTTGTTCACTTTTGAACACAAGGGTAAAATGGTCATTTAGTACATAAAAGAAGCAGACTTTGTGTATACAGCACTAACTCTAGATACATATCATTTACTTGCTTTTATAACCAGAAGGGTAAAACGGTCGTTTACTTGTATTAAAACAGTTCATTCAGTCCAAAGGGTAAAATGGTCATTTACTCATAACATTTAGACTGATCATTTAATCCAGAAAAGAAACAGAATTTGTGTATACAGCCCTGACTCTAGAAATACACATAATTTACTTACTTTTATACAGAAGGGTAAAATGGTCATTTACTCACATTTAGACTGGGCATTCAGTCCATAAAAGAAGCAGACTTTGTGTATACAGCACCAACTCTAGATCCACATCATTTACTTACTTTTATAACCAGAAGGGTAAAATGGTCGTTTACTTGTATTAAAACAGTTCATTCAGTCCAAAGGGTAAAATAGTCATTTACTCACATTTAGACCGATCATTTAATCCAGAAAAGAAACAGAATTTTTGTGTATACAGCCCCGACACTAGAAATACACATGATTTACTTGCTTTTATACAGGAGGGTAAAATGGTCATTTATTCAGAGGGAAAAAAAAACAATGTATTATTGCTTACCCTCCATCTAGATGCTCTTTGAATATTTTGTCAAAAGCACGACAAAGTTCCAAAATAGTGTATAATTTAGCCTGAATAAAAAAAGAGCACATAATTTCAAAATCTTTAAAAAAAAATAAATCTGCATTTTGCGAAAAATAAAAAATAAAAAAAATAAAAAGATTCTCACTCCATCATCAACTGCAATAGGTCTTCCAAGGCGATCCAACTCAGCTTCCATTTCCTCAATCCCTTTATTTATTAAGGAAATAATTCCCGGGATTTTTGCTTTAATTACAGATTCCAAATGCTACAAATAGAACCATTAAAAAAATATAATGATATTATAAATCAGTGCTAACAAAGAAAAAAAGACGAAAGTGCCCTTACCTGTGAGAGAAGCTTTGCTAGATATTCTGAACCCATTTTACTCGCCAGGTGTCCATAATCAGTACTTGTATAAAAATATTCTTGTTCCTTTCTTCTTGCGTATATCATATCAGTATTTTTTATAATATCAGCTTGTGATCTGTTCACAATTCCCACCCATGGATGTTGTAGACGATAAGCTCTGCCTTCAAGAACCTTTCAAAAGGACAAAATTGGAATTAATTTTTTTAAATATAAGACAGCTTTGTTCCCATTAAGTCATGTATGGGTAAAGTGGCTGAATGGGTAATGATATAATGTTGTATACAGAAGTTGTGTTTCTTTTTTTAGAGTAAATAAACCGTTTGTATGAGACTAAATGACCATTTTACCCTTACATTCAAACAAATTTTGATTATATATTCTTTAACGTGAGAGGAGTTGTGAGGAAAAAAGAAGAATGGGTAATGATATAATGGTGTATACAGAAGTTGTATTTCTTTTCTAGAGTAAATAAACTGTTTGTATGAGACTAAATGACCATTTTACCCTTACATTACAAAAAAACAAATTTTGACAATATTCTTAAATGTGAGGAGTTGGGAGGAAAGAAGAAGAATGGGTAATGATATCATGTTGTATACAGAAGCTGTGTTTCTTTTCTAGAGTAAATAAACCATTTGTATGAGACTAAATGACCATTTTACCCTTACATTACAAAAAATAAAGCTTGACAATTTTCTTTAACGTGAGAGGAATTGGGAGGAAAAAAGAATGGGGAATGATATGATGTTGTATACAGAAGTTGTGTTTCTTTTCTAGAGTAAATAAACCGTTTGTATGAAACTAAATGACCATTTTACCCTTACATTCCAAAAAACAAATTTTGACAATATTCTTTAACATGAGAGGAATTTGGGAGGAAAAAAGAAGAAGGGCAAATAGGTAATTAGTGTCTTAACCGATTATTTCATTCTGTCCAGGTTAAGTGAAAACGAAACAGCCATGTATAGCTGTCTATATTAATTGCTTAACCCATATGTTCATTAAGTCAAAAAGTCAAAAAAGAAACAACCCCTAAGTTGAAATAAGAAAAAGAAAAAGAAAAAAAAAAAAAAGGAACTCACATCTAATGCATTAGTTCCTTTGTCCATGAGGTCAAGCTTGGTCAACACACCAAAGGTCCTTTCACCTGATCAATTTAAGAATAATTCATTACATAAAATACTCAAGAAAAACAAATATTTTGACAAATACTCAAGAAGAACATATTATATTATTACATACCCAATGGATCAACCTCTTTAGCAAGTTTAATGGCATCAGATGTTGCAATATCTTGGTTTGCAGGTGATATTGCTAGTATGATGGAATTCGGCTGAAATTCAAACACCATTTAATGAGAAAAAAAAAGGAAAAAAAAAAGAAAGAGAAAGAGAAAGATGTTTAGGGTTTAGAATAAAATTACCTTGTCAACATAAGTTCTGACCATCTTTTCTATGTCTTCTACAATACTCTCAGGTTGCCCCTCTGCAAATAAGTTGACTTTCTGAATTAGATAAAGTTTATATCAATGAGAGAATGTTGTAATAACCATAGAAAGGTCAAGAAATATACCAACAGCAACTTTTGTTAATCCAGGTAAGTCAATTAATGTCAAGTTAACAACTGGTGAGCAAGAAAAACATGATAAGATGTGAGTGTCATATAAAAGAATGCAGAAAACAGGGTTCATGATAGTTATAGATTGAAAAAAGAGTCACCAGTAGGGGAGAATATGCTGAGATGAATTGGAATTGGAGATATTTGTTTTGACTTTCCAGTGATTCTATCTGTCTCATCTTGAATCTCTTGTCGTACCAAAGCTATGGAAAAAATGAAGTTAGGTACTATAAATCTATAATGCACAAATCAATGAAAAACTTACAGAAATCAGTGAATTTCCTCTGTGGCATATGTCCAAATTCAGCGTACTCCTGTCCACCTTCAGTCTTTTGCAACTGCAACACCAAGGGTCTCCTTGTGACAATCCCTGAAATAGCCATGAATGACTGATTCAGTATAGGAGTAGAAAAGAAGAACAAAATGAAGTAAAATGGAACAATTGGTTAACCTGATCCTCTAGGAAGAAAATCTCTCCCAACAATGCTCTCTAACACCGAGGACTTTCCAGAACTCTATTAATAATTGCAGTAACAGAACAAGTGAGCAAAAACAAACATCAGAAAGAGAAATAATATGGGCATTCTCTTCAATTGCGACAAATTAGTCCATCTCAATCAAAGTAAATGGAAAAACTAGCCCAATTCGTACTTCCAAAGCGAATTTCGTTACTTCTAAGAGAGTAAATCGATTTCGCCAAAATTGAGCTTCAAAACTATCGTGTTCTCAAACAGAAAAGGGAAAGGTGAAGTACGATGTTGGATTAGGTGAAGGAAGAAAGTGGAGGAAGAGAAACCTGGCCTCCGACGACGACAACTGACGGAAGAGCATCCCAGAGAGAAGCCAAAGCGGAGTCTCCGCCGCCGTAGTCGCCAAGAGCTGTGCAAGCTCTTTGTATACGATTCACCAGACCAATCAAGCTCTCCATAGTCGCCATGGCTAAAAGCTTTGTCTCTTTTTGTCTGTATAAGGAATTGTGGATAAATGTAGAAGTCGGTAGAAGAAGGAGGAATGTCTGTGAGACTGTGAACGTCAGCGAGGATGGGCGCAGGCTTGTTTGCTGCTTCGTCTTTTCCTTTTCTTTGCAATTTAATTGAATTTTTCAGAAAATTTATTTATATTTTAATCGATTATATTATTATTTATATGTAAAGTTTTTAATTATATAAATGAATCAAATTAGTTAAGTTGAGACAAAAAAAAATAACAATAATAAATGAAATAACGAAAAGTTGATAATGTAGTTAAACAATTTATTGTTTGATAAATAACTATGTAATTCAAAATTCTGCACAACAGCAATATATTAGAATTTTGAATTTTGAATTTTGAATGTAATTCAAAATTCTAAGATGTTTAATGACTAATCAGAATATCCATGGAATATCCAATATACAAAAATATATGTCACAAGCTACACAAATTAATTACAATTGCTTCAAATATATATTCGGTTACAATTTTAACTAAGAATAATCATAAAAATAACAACATATTATTATATATATATTAAAGTTATGAAAGATTTTAACATTAAAGTGAAAGAATAATCATAAAAATAACAACATATTATTATATATATATTAAAGTTATGAAAGATTTTAAACAATCCTCCAACTTACAACATTGACCCTTCATCTTTATGCTTTTGTTCACAAACAACCCTTTCACTTTGGTTTGAATTTTTCATAACCCTCCCATTTTATTACATATTATTAGTATTTACTCTTTTGGCAGAAATGGTCCCTCATCATTATTATTATTATTGTTAGACAAAATTACACGATTGGTCCCTGTGGTTTGCCAGATTTAACATTCTCTTTTTTGTTTTAAATTAATGTTTTATTTATTAGAAAATACCACCCAATACCATAAACCCACTCACCATCTGTCATCACCACCACCACCACCACCGCCAAAATTACATAAATGGTCTATATGGTTTACCCATGGTGACAAATTCAGTCCCTACTACCTGAAAAGACCAAATTACCCTCACATTAACGGACAAAAAACAACCAACATGCTACTTTACTTTACCACCACCACCACCGCCAAAATTACATAAATGGTCCATATGGTTTACCCATGGTGACAAATTTAGTCCCTACTACCTGAAAAGACCAAATTACCCTCACATCAACGGACAAAAAGCAACCAACATGCTACTTTACTTTACAAAGCAATATCTTCCGACCCGACAACGCCGGGGAATCTTTTCTAGTATTTATATAATTATAGGAAACTAGGTATGAGACCTATGTGTCACATTGGTTTATTTAAAAAAAAACTAAATATAAAATTCTAAACATTTGAAAATTTTGAATTTATAAGAAAAATGTGAAAAAATATTGAATTATAAAAGTTAAAGTGTTTTTTCTCTAAATTTAAACAAATAATTTAGATAAATAAATAAATGAAATTAATGAAGCTTTAATTTAGTAATTTTGAAATTAAAAAGAAAGTTTATTAATGAAATTAATATGCATTTATTATTGCATTTAAATACTATGTGGAATTTAATAAAATAAAAAAAAACCATAAAATGACATGTGGAATAATAATTAATTCAAAATACCCACAAAATAACATTTGGCAAATTGAATGAAAGTATGACAAGTGGCAAAAAAAACCTTCATTTATTAGAGTTTAAGAGAAGATAAGCTAGTATTTTATTATTCATAAAAATGACTCCTTAATATGATATTGGTTATTTCTGACCCATATAAATGACTCCTTAATATGATTTTTGGTTATTTTTGACTCATATATGAACGGGTTCTACCCGATTTCCTTTTTAAAAGAAATCTGAAATTCGATACCCACCATATTCATATTCCTTGACAGTATTTTGGATTCTATCAAAGAGTTTGACAACATGAAATATAGATTCGCATTAAAAGGAGGTTGGAGTGAATTGGGTTAGTTCTACCATTCTTGTTTCCATGTTTTGGACATAATAATAATAATAATAATAATAATAATAATAAAATATTTAAAAAGCAAACTCTAATCCGAAATCCGAACAATACCCGCAAATCCCAACTACGATGTTATGATGAAAGCAATAAATTCGTCCAACTAAGTTTTTTAGGCTCGGTCAGTCGAGTTGGCTGCCAACCGAGTTTTACAACTTGCTAAGTTTGTTGTGTATGATATTTATAAGATTTACAGTCACCGATTGATTTTGAATTGTTTTGTGATACCCCCTTTTTAAAATCGAAAATTAGCCTAATCAATCGACATTAATTCCAATAATGTTGTGTTCAACTGAAACAAGGTCTTAAAATCATAATACATGTAGCAATTTGTTCAATATGGGGTTACAAAAACATCATAGGCTATAGTGAAACACAATAATACAAAGCGAACAAAGCTTGAATACATAAACTACTACTTCACTCCTTGCTACCGCAAGAGTCATCTATGTTCATCATAAGTATCCAATTTAAGGTTACAGTCCATCTACTTCGACTCAACATTTGAAACACATGTCATAAAAATAAAATATGTAAGGTGATGTTTGTTTTTTCTGAGGCAAAATGTCTGCAGTCTGCGGACCACATTTGTAGATCTCTGCAGTATAAGAGGTGGACCAAACGTCTGCAGTCTGAAAAAAGAAGACTGTTTGTTTTTTTAACATCTGCGGGCTACTAAAATAAATTGAAATCTAAATAAACTGGTTTTTTTAAACTTCAAAGTGATTTTTTAATATTTTTATGACTTTGTTATAAATAATTAACGAATCTAAATAAACTTTTATGTATTATTGTATAAAAAATAAAAATAAAAATGGTATAAATTAACGTATATATTTGATAAAACCCAACAACATTGGTTGTAAGTTATAACTAAACATTATAATTAGTGATCAAAGAATTTGATACATAAATGAATAGAAATAAACTTCGATTTTTTCAATTAAATCTATTAAAAATGTACCATAAATATTTTCTCGAGAAATTGATGATATTGTATTAAATAATGTTTTACAAAATTTGGCAAAAAAATATAAGAATATATTATGATTTTTTTCATATAGAAACAACTTCAATGATTATTATTGTAATAAATCTTTATTTATAAATTTGTCAAAAATATCATGTTTGTATCGTCGAACGTTTTTTTTTAAGTTTTGTAATTTTTTTTTCAAATTGTTTATCATTAATAAAGTTGGAAAAAATATAAATTAAAAAAACTTTAAAAAAATAAAGATATATATGTTTTTTTAGACTAGAAGATGTCTGAAGATGTTAGAAGACTCCGGTCCACATCTGCGCCAAGAAGAGGGCGCGCAGACATTTTTAGGTCTGCAGTCTTCAAAAAAACAAACAGTCTGCGAAGGCTAATGTCTGCGCGGCGCAGACAGAAAAGGTCACGCAGATCTGCAGACAAAAAACAAACACTACCTAAGATAGATATGTCTCATGAGCATATGGGTTTTAGACACCATATAAGCTTTTAAAAATCATTTTGTACAATGGAATTTTTTTTCCCAAAACTTTTTCTTTCAAAACCATTCCTTTTTCATATACTAATATTTCAAAGCATTCTCTTGAAAATCACAAAACATTTTTCCAAACCCCAAGCCATTTGTCAAGTTTACCACTACATAAAAATATGTTAAAACATAAAGCAACTCTAAATCAATAGGGAACTTGCTAATTCCAATCATTTAGACAAATATATTAATCCTATATTTTCCAAGGCATATACCTATAAATTGCATGCATGATCTCAGGCACATTGAAATGCAAAGTAGCAATTAACCATTGGTTTTGTGCTTAGAACTTTGAATGTTCCTCACAAATGATTTCAAACTGAATCTTTCAATAACCCAAACATATAATAGAGAAATATCAATACAAAAAGTGATCATAGGATATTCTATCCAGAATTTTTTATTACCAAACCATGTTTTCTACCCCAAATTCTAACAATAAATCATAACTAACGCTGATTTACTCGAGTACTTAAGTTAAAAAGGTAAAAATAAAAAACCTTACATAACTGGATTTGAGTTTTTACTTTTTACTCTTAATCACGCTAACATCGGTCTTTAAAACTCGTTTATTTTACACGTGTTTCCAAATGAACAAAATAATGTATAAAGTTCTAAATACAAAATAGATAGGTCAATTTTTCACCAATCATCTTCCTTTTTTTTTTATTTTTTTTTTTAAATGGAGCAGCATTTAATCCTTTTTGTAAATTAGCGTTGGGTAATCCGGATTCCACATACTGTTCTCCACGTAGCAAAGAAGCTCATCCTGTAAATAACAAAACAATTTCAAAATGGTTATTTTATTGACTTTGCTAAGACTTAAAAAACTATTTTTATAAAATATATATCAAAATATATAATTTTCTAAATTTCAAAAATACCTTATTTAGCTTACGAAGCTCACGAGCATCCATTTCACGGTATCCTTCTGCTAAATCTTCTTCTATTGCTTCAGTGATAACCGCAGCAGCTACTTGTTTTGTTATGTCTCGTATGCTTCAACACAACAACAAAAAATACAAATTTTATTTTATAATAATAATAATAATAATAATAAATAAATGTCTATACCTTGAAATTGAAGGGTATATAATTCCTTTAAGGACCTCCTCTTCAGTCATATACGCAGCCAAACTGAAGTTTTGATTGAACACACACACACACACACACAAAAAAAAAAATTTAATTAATTAATTAATTACTCATGTGTGTCAAAAGACGTAAATGCCCTTATCATTAAAGAAAATTACCACTCAGCAGCAGCCTGTAACATGCCATCCGAGACTACTCTAGAGCCAGAAAGAAGAGTACCGAGACCAATGCTGTAAAAAATTTAGTAATTATTAGAAGTAATTTAAAAAAATAAAAAATAAAAATACATGATTTTCTTTTTTTTTTTTAAATTGAAAAACTAACCCTGGAAAGAGATACATATTGTTTCCCTGGTTGCAATGGCCAATGTGTCCATCTCCTGTAAATAATAAAATATAGAAATAAATAAATGGGATTTTTTTCACTTGGGAAAAATAAAAATATAAGAAATTAATTAGAAAACAAACCAAGTTCCACAT